CGCCGATGGCGCCCCATTGAATCGCCAATCCATGTAAGCCCTCCTGTGTTCTTCTCTCACAGATTCTTTCCATGATAGAATTTGCCATCCGTAATTACTCTGCCCGGCATTGCCTCTACCGCACGACACGGAGGAGAAGACGACGAAGTGACGTAGCTCAGGACATATGCATCTGGACAACTGGTCCAAATTCTTCGTGGCCTACGCTTTCGCTTTGAATGGTTTCTGGAATGTCTCTATCGTGTGATTCTGACAAATCTTGTCGTTTAGTACAACAGCAAGATTGAATATGGCGTCTGTGGCGCCAATTCCTCCGCTGTTCTCAATACGTACTCGCAATCTTTGATGTCTGATGCATCGACGTTCGATACGATTAATACTTTCACTCCGTAAGATTTCCACAGCTCAACCTTCATACGCTGATAACCGTTCTTTAGTCCAGTTCGTGAGATAAGCACGAGGTTCCTGGCACCACGAATGACTAACCAGTCGGCTAATTCCAAGCCGAAACCACCCAATCCTCCCAGGATAATGTATGACCTATTCGGTAGACAATAGTAACGCGGTAGGGCAAGCAAAGGCGTGTTCATGAATTTTTCCTCCTCTTGTATCTTTATAATTATCTGAAAACATCATATAAAACTTTTCATACTGTATTAACACTATACCTTTCGTAACACTGTACATGCCCGTTTATTATAACTAATGCCATTAGGAACATTTATCAATCATCTTACCTTTCCAATGTGTTTTCCAGCTGCCATGTACCTAAAAGCCGCTTCTATCTCGTCCTTTTGAAAAACTTTCTAGTAATTGGCTTTATGGCTCCCTTTCTAAGACCTGCTGCTAATATCGTTTTTAAATTATCTTTCTGTTCGTTGCTGCTGTTAATAAAACGTCTAACATTATACCGTAAAATGTAATCCCATTCGAAAATACCGACATGTTCAATGTATTGTTAGACATCATATCGAATTTTCCGATTTCCAAAAATCGCCCATTTCTGGCGAGGCAACGTACAGACGCTTGAAGTTTATCTTCGGCTAATGAATTTAATACAACATCCACACCACGACCATTGGTCTGTTGGTATATCATCTGTTCGAAGCTGATGTCGCGCGAATTCCCAATATGATCCTCCGGTATAGACGGGAAAGTATCTCGTATGAACTTTCGCTTTTCCAAGGTACCAACAGTGGTAAAAACTTCGCAACCATCATGAAGTGCAATATTGATAGCAGCTTGTCCTACAGCGCCGGTACCTGAGTGGATCAGTACTTTGTCGTTTTTCTTTAATTTTCCACGAAGGTACAATGCGTAGTAACATGTGGCATAAGCGCAGGGAACCGTCGCGGCGTCCTCGAGAGTCCATCCGTCCGGAATTTCCCAGGATAGATGTTGATCGAACACCCGCATATTTGATATGCACCTGAATAAAGAATTATATCGTTATTGCCTTATGACATCCTCTTGTCAATGTTACACGATTTATCAGTCACACACTTATTTTCGACTAGCCCCATTATTTTGCGTCCAGTATCGTCGATACCGACGTACTCCAAACCTAATACGCAATCTTCCAGTCGTCCGCGAGACATATAATCATCCAAGTTAATTTTACCGTTTGCTAGCATTACATCCTTGAAGTTAAGAGAAGCGTAAATTATATTAACGAGATTTTCGTGCTGGTAATCCGGAGTGATATCGCCTTCAATCCAATGTAATGAAGTTAAATCTCTATGCACCTAAAAGTGATACAATGTTTAATACCATAAAAATGATACTTTGTTTAATTAAATATGATAAGTAACATATCTAGTGTAATAATTTTTTAACCATATGGAAATGGTAATTTAAGATATATTTTGTTTTGTCCGTCAGCGATATATACCAATTGATTCATCAAGGCATGATGTACAAGCTTGTGTTTTAGGGGCTCCAACGGAAGATGTCTGTACGATCCCCATACTTTTTCGGGCCGTAAAACATTTATAACGAGATCCATCCGAAGTTGTTCCGCGTAGAATGGATCGTGCAATGAGAATTTCGGTGCATTCTTGTCCTGAATGAACACACCTCTAATTAATTCACCGCCCGGTTCTTTCCTCAGGCAATTAACGAGACCCAGTAAGCCGCATTCTGTGTCCTTCTCTCCAACAATAATTATTCTCATACTGTTAGTGAATTCGTCCGCCGTGCTTAGAATTGATTTGATTTGTTTCAGCCAAGAGAATTCGTAATTGTTCACGTATATAACTTGCGTTTTATTCGTCGGCTGACCTCTCTTCTTCAAGAGCGTTATAGACTCATTGCCTGTCTGTTTCTCGAGTATTACCGCTAGGTTGTTCGCGTCTGCGTAGGCAAGATCCGCTTTGTGAGGGATTGCCCACGTGTCAACAAAAAGCCGTCATCTCTTAATATTAGTAACATTTCTTTTAGGATTTCCTTTTTGCTGCTCGTTAACAAATTACAGCCTGTGACTAACATTATATTGTTTTTCGTCGATAGCTTCTTTGACTTTGTAATTATGATTTCTGAAGGAAGTTTAATGTCATCGAAACGATTAGTTCTATTTATCAAAGTAATATTAGGCTGAATGAGCGGTAAGTTCCCCAAAATTTTAGCAAACAGCGGAGAGACTAATTCTTCTATTGAAATGTCATCATCATCTTCGAGTAGTTCGATAATGTCCATTTTGGTTGTTTGATGGTACTCCAGAACAAGATGTGTCGACAGAGTTATTCCAACTTCAAGAGAAACTTTTGCTCCGTCTCGATGAGCTACAAATTTGTATTTTTCAAGGACAGGATTCCCCGTTACCTTCCGTCGAGGTATAATAGTGGCGGTAATGCCACGAATCTCCACACCACCAGATATTATTGTATTCAAATTTTTGTATACGTGCACAGCGAGTTCTGAGAATATTTGAGCGTGTTTTACTTAGCTTGTATCATTTAATTAATTCATTTATATAATATATATATATCTTATAAGTGACATTCTAATTAGAATATTAATTATGAAGGAATATTTGAAAGAGAATATTACGGAGATTCCAGACAAGGGAACATCGAAAGAAATCTATATTTCTTTCATTCTATCTATATTTATTTATATTTATCTACAAATCTATCTACATTTATGTCTCATAGTCAACCTACCTGTACTTTCAGTCGTAGTATCTTTTAGATGTTGCACATGAAGCCTCGGATTGATCACCAATTTTTCTATCCCAGTAGGAACACGAAGATTTCTCGTGTCTATCCCAAGGATCCTTATTTGGAGCATGTTATCCATAAACACTACCCAGTTGTTCATCCATTCTATGTGTCCTCGGCTGGCAGTAATGGATGCACTTCTTAAAGAACGAAACAGATCCGTATATTGATATCCGCGTAATTTAAGCTCCTTATATATATCTCTCGTTTTCATTATTTCTTTCTCGTTATCGTCTTCTTCTAGATAATCGATGGGCACATTTTCCTTGTCAAGATCTAGTGGAACACGTACCGTGCCAGTGACAATTGCGTTACCATTTTCTGTTATTTCAAACTTCCCAGTACCTGCGTAAACAAATATATAAAATATATTATATCGAAAGTTCGAAAAAAGATACTTGTTGAGCAAACACTATTGATTTACTTTTTTGCACCATTAACGTTAGTTTTACAGCTGCTTGGTTCGAAAGAAGTGTCGCTCGAAGGAATTTGACATTTTCAAATACGACGGTATATTTTTGTACGATTCCCCCCTTAACTTTCCAACCATTTTCCAAATTAATTCAATATATGCTGTAGCTGGCAACAGATTTCTGCCATCGATTATGTGGCCGCTCATGTATTCATAATCTTCGTCTTGTATGTTGACTTCTATTACAATCTCTCTAGACGTGATTTGTTTCTCCGTTGCGAATGACGCGACGTACCAGTTTTCCAAATGCTTCCACCTTGTAAATTTATAAATCAATTAGGTAGATATATTATGTTTATATATTGTTTCTTAACACTTTTAACACGTTCATTGCCGTTCACGCGATATCGCGTGTTGCGGCCCCTCACCAAACGGCCGTTCACGCAATTGTTTTTTATTATGAGTGACAAACCAGGATCCTCGAAAAGACTCAGTTCAATGCCAGTTCAATCGTGCAAAAAACGACTAAAAATAAATAAAAGAAAAAATAACTTTGGCCACCACACGAAATTCAAATTTTCAGTTTGGCAATGAACATGTTAAAGACATTTTATTATTTATTTGTCCTGTATAAAAAGCAAAATAAATGCCATAAGATTTTGTAAAATAGAAAACTTTTTACTACATTATATACTACAGTAAATATTTACTCTAGATCATAGACTCTAGATTCTAGATGACATAGTATAGAAGTGAGACAGTCGCATCATAAGTGGATCGGAAAGTGTCCAAGTAATGTAATCAACTTACTTGATCGACGGCGAGATCATCGGCGTGCTGCGACTAACCGGAAATTCTACAGCCGGATAGAGATTGGCTAATTGCGGCTGCAAGCCAAAGTTGTACATCTTGCCGAGTCCTTGCAAAAATACTTTAGCGTTATCTTCGTGATGACGTTGAGTCAACGTGATGGTTGTCGTATCGAAAATTTTATTCAAGACATCCTGCAGAATTCCATCCGGCGCGATTTCCACGAACGCTGTATTTTTCGGAATCATTTTCGCGACATCTTCGAAAAATATAGGATTCACTAAACTGTTGGTAAAGTATTCTGCATACGATATGTTATAATCGCAAGGCAATCTGCACCATTTTTGTTTATGCATCATCTTTTGTGGTAATGCCCGTTGTAATTTAGCCAAAATATTTTCTCTCGCAGGGACGATATAGCAACTATGAAGAGGAATATTACAGCAATTTATCTCCTTATAAGGGATTTTGTTAATCTGTGTGTGAGTGGATAAACAGAATTATTTATTTAATATATTGTGTAAGAGACTGAATATACTGAAGGAAAAATGAGGAAACCTCTAATTTCTTCGTAAATGCACTATTGATTCCCTCAGTCCGACGATGGAACATGTGTCTGGACTATAGCTGCATATTACTTTGATATCTACTGGACACATGACTTTCGCTTCTTTGTAACTAACGCCAATATCCGTCATGGCGTACTTCGCTATTTTTGTTTCTTCCAACGCCAATCCTATGTAGTACGCGGACAAAATCACTTGTTCGATCGTGAAGTCACCAGTTACATATCCGCAACAAAGTTCACCGATTGAATGACCGATGGTATAGTCTGGCACAACGTTTACCGACATCAAGAGATCTATTAATCCAAGCTGTGGAAGGAAATAAAGGAGTCATGTTTTTCGAATTTCACGTAATGCTTGAGAAGAGCATAAGCTTATTCTTCAAATCGACCATATCATATGTTAAGTAAATGAGAACAATTTATTACAAGCGTTTTAGCTTAATTGAGCTATCTTACGAAGTACGTGAGTTTCAGAGTAATCAGTAAAATGATCTTCTCTCTTCGATATTGATTTTTACTGCGCGATCATTGTTAGAAAATTTATCACCTGCATTGCTGTGATGCTCACGACTGTGTTCGATATACAGTCAAGGGTGACTTTTTGTTTACTTGTTAAAATGTCGATGATGTGCACTCCATGTATCTTTAGAAGTATATTACATTTTTCTATGGTTTCACAAAATGCTGGAAAACGCAGTAATGCTTTTCCTGTCAACATATAAATCCAATTTTATTGATAAATAATTAACTAAATCGTTTCGCTTACGTAAAAGAGAGAGAAATTACCCATGCCAAACCATTGGGATCCGATACCAGAAAACACAAAACAGATCGGCTTTCTTACTCCATCATAATGATCTATTTCGCTCGTTATGCTGCTCGATATTTGGTTTTCAACAATCGTGTAACCTCTGTAAGGATGATTTAGAAGTTCTTCCGCATGGAGTTCGTGCAACAACCGAACATATTCAACATCTACCAGTTGACTTCCAATCTAAATTGGACGTATTTTGCATGAATGCAGACTTCTGTCTTTTAACTGACACAATTTTTACTTACCTCACATAAGAATGACTCCAGTGCTTGTTCGGTACGACCGGACAGGACGACGAGTCTTGGCAAATCGTCCTTTGGTGCCCCACCGTTGACTTTTTGCTTCATATTAGGTGCTAACAAAATATGAGCATTGGCTCCTCCCATACCAAAAGAATTTATAGCCACAAAAGTAGGTTCCCATATTGTTGGAGTAGTCACGACTCGTATAGTCCCTCGCTTAAAAGCTTCAATATCATCTCGTTCTTTTGTGATATTTATGTTTGGTGGAATTACGCCAGTTTCCATTGTTATCAGCACCTTGTCAGAGAGAGAGGGAAATATCCATTTTGAGAAAACTTCTAACTTCAAAGACGCGTTATGTTGAAAATTTGAATATCCTTATGAATAATGATCTCTTTCGACATTTCCACAAAAAATATTTCAAATATTTTCAAGAATAACGCTATTTAAATAATGAGCGCAGATTTCAGAACACCCCAGTTGTATGGCGTAAGTTGATGTTTTATTATTATAGCGTATGGAATAGTTATTTTTGATATTGATAATATCTGTGTTTTTGATAAATTTATTTAAATATTAATAATTACCACGCTACCTTAATAATTTGAAGCAGGCCGCTGGCAGGCTCAGCATGACCAGTGTTTGACTTGCTGCTACTAATTAGTAAAGGGCCTTGTCTATCCTTGCAAAAAACTTTTTCGATTGAATTAATTTCTATTGGGTCGCCAACTTTCGTGCCGGTACCATGAGCTTCGACGTAGGCAACAACAGACGGCGATATATTGCATTCGTCGTAAAACTGTTGTAATAAGAAGTTTTGCAATTTTGTCGATGGGAAGGTAATGCCTTCTTCTTTGAATCCGTCGCAATTCGTTTTGCAATGAATTACAGTTGCGTAAATTCTTTTAGCATTCTTCGCTTTTTGTAAAAACACTACCCCGATCGCTTCACTGCGCATGTAACCATTCGCATTATTATCGAAAGGTTTGCAAAACCCGTCGGACGATAAAACCTGAAATTACAAAATGCTAAATGATAGCAGTTACTTTTGTAAAAAAATATAAAAAAATATGTTTACGAAAGTATTTCTTTATTAAATTTTGAGATTGATTATTTTATCTGTGACGTTCGAAGTGTGGCGTAAAGAGTAATTATAAGATACCTAGTCGCATGAACTGCAAAGATATTAGAGGATTTAGGCAGAGATTTGTAGCAGCAACGATCATGTTATCACACTGTCCAAATTTTATGTTTCTGTATGCGTGCTCCATAGCGTATATACTCGAGCTGCAAGCCGTATCGACCGTGTAAGATGGCCCTGTGACACCTAACCAGTGAGAAATCCAATTTGCTTGCATGAACTTTCTACATTCTAGACTTCTATGATCAGTAACCTACATGTATATATAGAGTATATTAATATACAGTATATAATACTATAGTATGGAAATAATTATATAAAATTATATATGTGGATATATAATATTTTTTGTAGATAGTTTCTTCGATAGATATCTAATTTGCTTTTATATAGTATTATTTTATCGTATTTTATACGGTTAAGATAAAGGTAATATAAAATTAGTAGCAATAAAACTCCAAATTTTCTCAATTGATCGTGCTTTGAAAGTAACAGACGGCAACAAGCACAAACTCATCAATCAATATCTCAAATTCAGTTTAACAAGAGTTTTTGCCGGTTAGTTATATAAATAACATACAATTGTTATCATTCATTCTTGTCTTGATTTAATTCACTCAATCTCATCTCTTTGCGATTTAAATATCAAAATCGTAAATTATCGAGGAAAATAGAAAATGGACTTTCGTTTAAAAATCGATCAGAAATCCTTTATCTATTAAATTAAATTATCCCCACACTTTTCTTTTTATATTAACTGATTACATTTTATTAAATTTTAAATGAGACGATTATACGAGGATCGTTCAATAAATCCTTAGAAAATCCAAGAGATGGCGCTCGCAGTCGCATCGAAAATGGTTTGTTTTTAATAAGCATCATTACTTGTACTCACTAGACAGCTGTTAAAGTCTCAGTTATATCCATCACATGGTTTCATTTTTATTGTCGATTGAAGCAATAAACTTTTCTTTATTTAGAAAAATGGAAAAAAGTGAGTTTCTAGTGGTGATTAAACACTTATATTTAAAAGGCTTAACACCGAAAGAGATTAAAGCTGAGTTAAATGAAGTTCATGGCAATCTGCTCCTGTGTTTGCAACTGTTTACAATTGGGTAAATGAGTTTAAACGTGGCCGTACATCCACAAAAGATGAACATCGTTCGGGACGTCCAGTGGAAGTGAACACCCCCGAAATGATTGACAAAATCCACGATATGGTTTTGAGTGATCGACGAATCAAAGTGCGCGAAATAGTTGAGGCCACAGGCATTATCGCAAGATATAGTGTTTTCAATTCTGCACGAAAAATTGGATGTAAAAAAAATCTCGGCAAGATGGGTGCCGCGTTTGCTCTCAGTGGAGAATAAACGCAATCGTATGGTCGACTCTGAGACTGTTTTAGCGTTTTTCCGTCGCAATCCTGACGAGTTTCTGCGGCGATATATAACTGTGGACGAAACATGGATACACCACTACACTCCAGAGACAAAGGAACAGTCAAAACAGTGGGTTTTTGAAGACGAACGGGCTCCGAAGAAGGCGAAGACGGTGAAATCGGCCGGCAAGGTGATGGCCACGGTTTTTTGGGATGCACGCGGAATCATCTACATCGATTACTTGGAAAAAGGACAAACAATAACTGGAGAGTATTATGCGTTATTATTGTACCGGTTGAGCGAAGAAATCAAGAAAAAACGTCCTCATTTGAAAAAGAAAAAGATCTTCCATCAAGACAATGCACGGGTGCACACCTGCGCAGTTTCGATGGCTAAAATTATGGAAGTTCGAATTATTATATATCCACCGTATTCACCGGATTTGGCCCCCAGTGACTTTTTTTTATTTCCAAACTTGAAAAAATGGCTCGGCGGACAACGATTCGCGTCGAACGAGGAGGTCATCGCCCAAACAGATGGCTATTTTGAGGACCTTCCGAAATCCTACTTTTTGGACGGCTTAAAAAAATTGAAGAAACGCTTGGAAAAGTATATAGAGCTAAAAAGAGATTATGTTGAAAAATAAAAAAAAAATCTACCCAAAATAATTTGTTTTTCTATCTTTTTCTAAGGACTTATTGAACGACCCTCGTATCTTTCGAAATAAGAAACCGATTTTATAATTTTATAAGAAATCTATTTATCTGCGCACAAAAATTGTGACAAAGATTGGAATGATTTACTGCATATTATTTGCATTTTTGTACCTGCGTCTTTTCATAAACAAGCACATTCTCCGATTCGGAAAAACTTGTCCCGACGATAACTCCTGTTTTCGTGCCGTGTAAATCTTTCGGATTTATCCCGGCGTCGACGATGGCTTCGTACGTATGTTCCAGAAGACATCTAGTTATAGGATCCAACAGGTGGACTTGGTTGAAGGGTATGTCAAAATATTCCGCATCAAATTTCTCGATATTATTGACCTTTCCCGTGCGTTTTGGTATATCCGGATGGTCTGCGAATTCAATAACATGTGGAAAGCAACACACTCAGATATCAGATAAAATGTAATATATCGATACTTCTTTGGATAACAATACTTAAGAAGATATTACCATGTTGCCAACGTCGACAGTCGTCAGAACCTAGATCTACTTTATTCAGTAGATTTTCTTTTAAATGTCTGACGTTGTCGGATTCGGGAAATCTGCCAGAAATTCCGGATATAACGATTTCATCCTGAATCGGCGCCGAATCAATCGTGGATGTGCCGTTACAATACATTTTTAAATATATTTATACAATTAATACAAGCCCGCAAACTTTAATGTTATCTATATTTCGTTTTCACGTATATTGTATGTCACTTCTTTTAAATTACTTCCTACTTTGAAAATATGTTAGATTTCTAACGATGTGGTATTAAGTCTCACACGTTACTGACGAAGTGGAAAAATTGCAGAACGCTTTTATATGACGCTTTATATGCGTTGAGTGCCGTTGGGGTCAACGAGGTCCGGTGACTTACTAGTCGCGTTTTGAAAAAAAAATCACCGGTGATCGGCGATATCAAGATTAATAAAGATGTTTAATTCAAATAAATGGTAAGTTATAATTTGTAAAATTTGCAAAATTTTCAACATTGTCATTTTTATTGCAATAATGTGAAGAAACTAATGCATCATAGGACATATTTGACATTTTTATTTGCAATTATATATAAGTTATATGCATGTATGGCGATATATTGTATTAAAACACGGCAAACAGAGTAAAAGTAAACTAATACAATTTCCACAGAATGTAACAACGTTTTTGGTATAATTTTTCGCATTTGACATATTAATTATAAGGACAATCTAGGAATATAAATCTAGGAGACGAAATCAATGCAGCGTGTAGGAATATAATGGAGTCATTACTTAATTTTGATAGACTCGACAAGAATGAGAGAAATAACTGAACTATGAGAGAAACAAAACTGAAGTGAACTGAACTGAAACAACTATTTTCTATTTCTTTTTGTTATAAAATGAATTGCTTAAAAGAATCGTGCTTTTTACCAATCTCCTCATGCAATGACAGAATAACATTCTTAATAACTTAAGAACGAAAGTCGCAAAACATAACATTTCTTTTGTCGTCAATTATCAGATATCCTGTACATAAAACAAGTGCAGCAGTTATAGGGAATTATATGCAAATTCGATATTATGCTAACAGTATTGCAACACTTTGATTTTCATCATGTTGGATGTTGGATTTAACATGCTGAGTAAGCTGAGTTAGTATGTTAACATGTTAGATTACATGCTAGCTAATAAATTAACTAAGGTAATTAAACAAAGTTAAGATATATTTAAGGGTCATCAGGCTGAGAATAGTAAAATACTGTAGTAAAGAGAATAGTAAAATACTCTTTTTGCGATTTCCCTTATTAAACAATATTTCCGTAACAGTTATTAAAAATATAATGTTACATAGAGTGTTTCGTTTTAATAGTGCATCTCGATTATCATTGCAGGGAGCGGTCGTAGAGAGAAGTGTTTCAGACGAAAGTTGTAGGGTTCAGGGTGAGTCATCCGACGGTGACCTTCGTCTTGACCTTAGAGTCAAATTTGAAGGTTATTCGAAGATCAACATAAAAATTTTAAACGGGTACCCCTATTTTTGCGTATATATTTTTGTAGCTCAGCACACACGCACGCAAACGCACACGCACACGCACACACAAGCCAAGAAAGATGTAAATATGACCGAGCAACCTCCAGCTTGGTACACCTTGGGTAATGCCGGCGGTACTGTTTCAGGCCTTGTATCTCGGAAAATACAGAATAAAGAAATACTTAATTATAGTGTTTTAGAAAGCTCTCGAGCTAGTTGTCATGTTGCAAAATTACTTTGTCGTGTCTCTTCTCGTATTACGGCCGTTTTTCCTTCAATGCTCGGCTCAAACGCATTAATTGTAGTCGATAGCGATCTCCCGTGATGGTTTCGTTGGGTTTGAGGAGCTCATAATGTACTACACTCAGCTGATCTCATCAAATACAGAGCATGAGCTTGGAACCATGGATATTCGGCTTTGCCGTCGATGTTGATGCATGGCCGGGCTTACCCTACGATTTTCTACGCTTCGGGTTATCGTAGTGTATCCACTTTTCATCGTTAGTCACGATACGAAGCAAAAAACCTTTCCTTCCTTTTCTGCCGTTGGAGCAGCTGTTCACACGTGAAAAAACGCCATTCGACATCTCTCGGCTTCAATTCGTACGGCATCCAATTTCCTTGCTTTTGAATCATTCCAAATGCTTTTAAACGTTTGGCAACTGTTGTGTGATCAACTCCTAATGATTCTGCAAGTTCATTTTACATCTGACATGGGGTCTTCATCGAGTAATGCTTCCAATTCTTCGTCTTCAAACTTTTTCGGTGCGCCAGAGCGTTCTTTACCTTCAACATCAAAATCATTATTTTTGAAGCATCTAAACCAATCACGGCATGTTGTTTCCGACAGAGCATGGTCGCCGTAAGTCTTCACAAGAATTTTATGTGCTTCAGCTGTTGATTTTTTTTGAAAAAGTAATGCAGTAAAATTCCCCGCGAATACTCTTTTTTTGGCACGAAATTCAACATGTTTAACGCTATGAAAAAATATGTTGTTTACGCTTCGGCGAAATAACATATACTGTCACTTCGAGCCTAATAGTGGAGCTTCACGATGAAGTTGGCTGCGGTATTGCCCGATGCAAAAAGGCAAAGATAACACCATCTATCGGGAAACAGCGAGAACTTATTCAAGTTCCCAATAGTTAAAGCAAATATTTACAAAGGAGTTTCATAAGAAACGTAAATAAACCGGGCTCATAAAGTCACACAATAAGAGTATGGCTCAATACTTTTGAACACATGTAAATATTATATGATTAAATAATTAGAAACTATGTAATTTCAAAATTTTGTAACTGTACTATTATTTGTAAGAATGTTATGTCAACTATTTTATATTAATTTTTAGAGCAAATCAATATATTGTCATGTATCTTAAAAAGACACTATGGCTTGAAACTTTTGTACGCCACTGTAAGTCTCCATATTCATATGTCCGGTTCATGAGATCCGGTAAACTTTGATTCTGGCTGCGATTGGCTACCGCTATATCATTATACAATAAGTCGAAGAATAATTTAGACTAACCTTGTCAAAACGTATTTGACGTCTATGTTTATCGTCCAGGTCATTAAGATCAGATTGAGTAGAAAGAACTATTATCTGTTTCTGCCGCTTCAAGAGTATCGCTAACAATTCGTTCTTGTAATAACCTTTTCTCCCTATAGGATTCCCTCTATTTTCAGAAATTACGTATCTTTCTTCTAGAATTTTAGAATTTTAGGTGACGCATTACGTACTAAAATTAATCTGATATTTTTCTTCAGACATTTCCGGTCAAGAAGTTATTTTTACAAAAAAAAAAAGAAAAAAAGAGGATAAAAGTATGAGAAAAGAACTATTTTTATACAGAATTCCGAAACAAATAACACATTGCTTGAAATATTTTTTCATATCTGCATTTGTTCTCGAGAAATTTAGCAAGAATGCTTTTTGGGTATAGTTTTGTTCTTCTTTTAAGAAAATTAAGCAAACAACGGTAAGGATGGAAAGACCGGTGATCAGAAAATTATTTTGACTAACTTTAATTAAAATCTCACTATTATCAAAGAAAGTTAACTTTCTTCTCCTACTTATTGTGTTTGAATAATATTGAGAATTTGGCCATTTTGATTCCTTGTATCTCAACAACTATCTCTATACTCAAGTTAATTTTTTTCTAAAATTAATACTCATTTTATAGTATTGTTTAACACATGGTTTGACTCGAATTTCGAGGACCACAAAATGGGCGAAAAAGACATTCTGGAGTCACTCGTTTGTAGTGCGCATATATGCTATTAAAATTTTTTATTTTATTTATAATAGTACATTTCTGATAAAAGTTAACGACATAGGTTTACATTATAATATTTAAATATTTTCATATACGAGGGTTGCCTTTCATATTTCGGGAATAAAGAACAAAAAAAGGAAATTAATCATCGTACATGGGTTTATTGTTTTTCAAAATATTCTCCATGAAGATCAATACACTTTTGCATGCGCTTGAACCAATTTTCGAAGCACTTTTTCCACTCCGATTGAGGTACCTCCAAAACATGCATTTTGAACGCATCAACCGCTTCTTCAGGCGTCGAAAAACGTTTGCCTCGTAATTTATTTTTGATTTGCGGGAATTAAAAGAAGTCATTGGGTGCCAAATCAGGGCTGTACGGCGGATGACCCATCAATTCGACTTTTTTAGTTCTCAAAAAGTCTCTTGTTTGAGCCGATGTGTGAGAGCTCGCATTGTCCTGGTGGAGAATGATGCGTCTTCGGCGGTTGGTTTCCCTTATTTTTCCGAAGTCTTCTGACAAACAAATGGTTGTGTACCATTCAGAATTGACCGTCCGACATTGCACTAATGGTACAGTTGCCATATGTCCGGTTTTTCCGAAAAACAGGCGACCATTTGCTTCGAAGTGCTTCGTGCGCGAACAACTTTTGTTGGATTTGGCTCATCTTGAAAGACCCATACAGTCGACTGCTGTTTACTTTCGGGCTCATACGCATAGATACATGATTCGTCACCTGTTACGATATCATAGACGTGTTTTGAAGCAATCGTATTTCTTGAGCATTTCTTTCGACCAATCGACACGAGCCTTTTTTTGAGCGATTGTTAAATTATGTGGGATCCAATGCGAACAAATTTTTTTGACAGCCAAATGTTCATGCAATATTGAATGTATGCTGGTCCCACTAATGCCCAAGGATGCCTCAATCTCACGATAAGTCACATGACGATCTTGCAATATCAGTTCACGCACAGCATCAATGTTTTCTAGAACAACAACCGATTTTGGACGACCTTCACGAAATTCATCACTAAGCGAACTACAGCCACGATTGAATTCCGTATACCATCGATATATAGTGGTTTTTGATGGTGCTTCATCGCCAAAAGTCGAATTAAGTTCATCGATGCACTGTTGTTGAGAGATAATCCACGTCGAAAGTTGTAAAAAATAATCGCACGGAAATGTTCACGACTTAATTCCATTTCTTGGCCGACATCAATTTTTCATGTCACTGTTAACAACACAAATGGCGCATGGACATCAAAACGTTCTGACTAAGTATACTGATAAAAAGTCGAACTTTATGTTAGGGACGTCGGTTATCAGATGGCAGCAACTGGATCGTCCATTCCCGAAATATAAAAGGCAACCCTCGTATCATAGAAATAATTATACAATCCCACTTAAGATAAATGTCAATATTTTCAATTCGTTTCATAAGAGTTTTATAAGAGTACTGTAAGACGTATAGTTTCTCAAA